ATTTGTTTTTTTTTTAATTCACAATAATGCATTTTGAAGTTAAATTCAACGGCAGGATTTAGGGGGGGGGTCTTATATTTGGGCCATGGCATAATTAAATTGTTAATATTTAATCAAGAACTATTGACTAGTCTCAAAAGAAACAACCGATCAGTTGTTGTGGATAAAAAAAAAAAAAATAAATAAATAAAATTGGCATTCCTGCGAATCACTTCAGTCGGATTAAATGTCGAAATTAGTTTTCTTATGTTTAACGGCGATTACAGCAAATTAATAAAATTTGACGCTTAATTACGAAACCATCTGGAATTATGGGTGGATGACCCAAAGTAGTCTAAGGGAGTCATTTTGCATTTTCTGAATTATAACCTCCACCTTGAAAATGAGGTTATATTAACTTTATCATTCCGTTTCTAAAATCCCTAAATATTCGTCGTAGACCCCATAAGGTATATACATTCATGATCAACATAAAATTCTAAGTCGATTTAATGATGTCCATGGCAGAAGAATACAGGTAGATGCATCAACGCTTGGGAGGATTGATATATGAAAAAATTTTAAATTTTTTCTTATACGACGTCATTCGGAGGTTATTATAATTCGAATTTTTTTAATAATTTTTACAATTTTAAATAATTTTTCATTCAGCACTTTTAATTTCAAAATTAGTTTGGTTCATTGTCCCAGCAGCTGTGTCGATGCATCTACCTATATTCTTCTACCAGGATGATGTCCTTCTGCATGTCTGCTGAAATCACGATACAGCCCACATTATTTGACGTAGAGCTTCGAAAATTGGCAGAATAATTTGTATTGTTTCTAGGATGGTTGGTATTAAAAATGAGATATATCGGTCCACGTTTTGGTATAGCCGCCATATAAGGGTATCTCCCGATATTCGGTATTTTGAGGATTTTCGCCATATTTTCTGACGGATTTATCTAAAACTTGGTGTTTGTAAGTAATAATCGGTCCCCGCTTTGGTGGCGAAACATTGTATGTATTGGTCCACGTTTTGGCCGTATAATGGTATCTCCCGATATTCGGCATTTTTATGTTTTTTGTCACATTTTTCCCCGGATTTGTCTAAAAATTGATATTTGTACATCATAATGGGTTCCAGCTCCGGTGGCGGAACATAGTATGCATAGGTACACGTTTTTTATAGCCCCCATTTTTTAGGGATTTATCTAAAAATTGGTATTTGTAAGTCATAATGGGTTCTAGCTCCTATGGCGAAATATTGTATGTATAAGTCTCCGTTTTGGTATAACCCCCATATAACGGCACCTCCAGATATTCGGTATTTTGACGATTTTCGCCACATTTTTTCCACGGATTTGTCCAAAAATTTGTATTCGTAGTTTGTAATGGGTTCTAGCTCCGGAGGCAGAACATTTAGTTGCACGTTTTCCTATAGCGCACATATAACGATACCCACCGATATTCGGTATTTTCACAATCCTAGTCACATTTTCCCATCTCTTCATTCCAGACATCAACAGTGATTCAAAATTGGTACCATTTAGTACTTTTCGAACAAGTATAGTATGCATTTCCAAACCTACCTCCATATCCTAACCACAGACACAAACAGTGATACCTATATCAAATTTCAGCTCATTTTCTTTCTTTTTCACCCAATACGAAATTTAGTACAATTTAGTACTTTTTGAACAATTATAGTACACATTTCCGAAACCCACCTCCATATCTCAAATTCAGATACCAGCAGAAACCGCAATATCAAATTTCAGGATTCCACCTCTATTCCCTCACCCTATTCCCATATTAGTACTATTTTGTGCTTTTCGTATAATTTTAGGACTGATTCGCAAAATCGTCCAATATCTCAATTCTGGACACCAACAGTGACATCCATATCAAATTTCAAAATTTCAACTCTATTCATCCAGCGCCAAATTTAGTACCATTTGGTACTTTTTTGTACACCTATAGTACACATTTTGCAAATCATCCCATGTCTCAATCCTAGACACCAACAGTTATAGCAATAAAAAAATTCACGGTTTAAGTTCTATTACTTAGCCCAATACCAAATTTAGTACCTTTTCGTACAAAAATAATACACAATTCCGAAACCACCTCCATATCCCAACCACAGACACCAACAGTGACATCTACATAAAATTTCAAAATTTCAGCTCTATCCCTTCACCCAATACCAAATTTAGTACTTTTCGCACAATTATAGTATTTATTTCCTAAAACGTCACCACATAAAAAATCCAGATACCAATAGAGATCTCAATTTCAAATTTGGCAATTCCACCTCTATTCCTACATCCAATACCGAATTTAGTACTATTTAATACTTTTTTTAGTACCTTTTAATATTTTCGTACCGTTCTAGTACGAATTTCCAATAGCCCTGCCTTATCTGAACCCTTCGGACCAAAAGTGACTCTCTAATCGTATTTCCAAATTTCCGCATTTTAGCTTTATCGGTTCAGCCAAATCGAAATTATGCCAAATTTAGTACCATTTAGTACTTTTTGTGCACTTGAAGTACACATTTCGAAAACCTCCACCATATCCAAATCCTACACTCCGTCAGTAATGTTAATTGCTAATTTCAGGATTGTAGCTCCATCCGTTTCTCCATATTCAAATTGTACTAAATTTAGTACTGTTTAGTACTTTTCGTATACTCGTATGTAAGTAAAAACTTCCAAAACTATCTCCTTACATCAACTCTACTCCTCAACCTTGAATCCCATTCCAAAATTTCAAATACCGTTCACATGATACGAAATGGTACCAAATGTAGTACATTTTAGTACTTTTCGTACATTCGAGCGAATTTCCAAAAACCCTTTGGTACATCTATCGTGCACTCCATCAGTGACCCTCATTCCAAATTTAAGAGTTCTAGCTCTACTGCTTCCTTAAATACAAAGGGTACCATATTTAGTACCTTTTAATACTTTTCGTACCATTCTAGTAAAAATTTCAAAAAAAATAAAACAAGTCTTATCTGACCCATCGAGACAAAAAGTGGCTCTCTAATCTTATTTCTAAATCTCAATATTTCACCATTATCGGTTCACCCAAATCGAAATAGTACCATTTAGTACTTTTTGTGCACTTGAAGTACACATTTCGAAAACCTCCACCATATCCAAATCCTACACTCCGCCACTAACATTAATTGCTAATTTCAGGATTCCAGCTCCATCCGTTCCTCCATATTCAAATTTGTACACATGATACGAGATGGTACCAAATGGTAGTACATTTTAGTACTTTTCGTGCATTTATAGAGCTAATTTCCAAAAACCCTTTGGTACATCTATCATGCACTCCATCAGTTAACCTCATTGTAAATTTAAGAGTTCTAACTTTACTGCTTCCTCAAATACAAAGGCTACCATATTTAGTACCTTTTTATTACTTTTCGTACCGTTCTAGTACGAATTTACAAAAAAAAACCGGCCTAATCTGACCCCTTCGGACCAAAAATGAATCTACCTCCTTACATCGCCTCTACTTCTCAACCTTGATTCCCATTCACAATTTCAAGTTTTTCGCTCCAACCGTTCACATCATACGCAATGGTACCAAATGTGGTACATTTCAGCACTTTTCGTACACTTATAATGCGAATTTTCAAAAACCCTTTGGTACATCTATCATGCACTCCATCAGTGACCCTCATTCCAAATTTAAGAGTTCTAGCTCTACTGCTTCGTCAAATACAAAGGGCACCATATTTAGTAACTTTTTATTACTTTTCGTACAGTTCTAGTACGAATTTCCAAAAACCCAGCCTTATCTGATACCTTCGGACCACGAATGATTCTCACCCAAAATTTCAATATTCTAGCTTCAGCCGTTTCGTCTGGACGTTGATGAATCATTGAGTCATTCAATCAATTACTTTACTCTTTTATTAACATAGATGTAGAGCATACTTTTAGGCTCTCCCAACAACTATAAAAATTAAAAGCATTTATTTATCGCCTTAAAAGATATGAGCAGGAAGTAATCTGAGTATTGAGAACGCTTTGTGGGGTCTTCGAAGAATATTTCCAACGGGGACTGTTAACAACATTAAAAGGTACCTCCACTGTAAATGTTGAGTTATGGTGGATATTTAATTGCAAGGTGTGGTGGTTTCACTTTTTTCAACACAAATAGCAGATTCCACAACCAAATAATGTAATTTGTTGTCTAACCGTTAGATGGCACCACAGTTGTTTAGTTATTGTTTTTATAAGAAAATCTTAAGATTTCCGGTATTTTGGAAATTTCTGTTAGAATTCACGCTACCAAATGTCTCTGAAAATATTAATTAATTAAAAATTCGAAACATGAAACTTATTTGAAAATTATCTTAAATATTTCTCTTTCATTATTTGTTCATCTATGGCTTGCAGTATCCACTAGTAGAAGGGGGGGGGTTAGGGTGGGGTAGAAGTAAATTTTAAGAGACATTAATTTTTTTGATTCCATTTTCAAAATTTTTTCTATTTGACTTGTAATTTGATTACTGACGGAATAAATTGAAGGATTAGCCTAAACTAGGCTCTAAAATTCCCATTACCTTTCATATATATATTTTTTTTTTAATTTTTTATTTTTTTCTATGTCTTGTATTCTCTTTTTTTTATAAAATTTATAAAAAATATATATTTTTAAAATACATCTCAACATCTGCTATTTCTTCAATTTTTTTGAGTTTTTTTTTTATTAAAGGATTAACCTAAACTAGGCTCTAAAGTTTACATCCCCCCTTCATAGATCTATTTAATTTTTTTTTTTTAATATTTTTTATTAATTTTTATATTTTTGATACTTTTCTTTTTATAAAATTTATAAAAATATATATTTTGAAATTACATCTCAACATCTGCTATTTCTTCCAATTTTTTGAATTTTTTTTATTATTGAAGGATTAACCTAAACTAGGCTCTAAAGTTTAAATTCCCCTTTCATTGATTTTTTTTATTTTTAATATTTTTTTATTAATTTTTTATATTTTTATTACCTTTTCTATTTCTATTTTTTTTTTATAAAATTTACAAAAATATATTATTTTTAAATTACATCTCAAAATCGTTATTAAATCTCAGGATATGCACTGCCAATCAAACTCTTGCCACGATAACGCCATGAATAGGTGACAATGCCAAATTTGCTGTTACCCAACGAGACGGGACAGGTTCGGTCGGGACGTAGTTTAAAGCAGACCGTGTACAAGGCCAATTCCAATTCGGGAGAGGTGCCCACAAACAGGGTGTTGACAGGTTTGTTCAGACCATTGTGGGTGAAACGGACCTTCAATACCTTGGCTTTCTGTGAGAGGGAGAAAAAAAGTGAGAGAGAGTTTTTTATAGCATTTTCTCTTCAGAGAATCCCCATCAACTTACATTGCCCAAATCCACCTGATTTAGATAACCCTTGTAATCCAAATGTCCGGCCTTTTCTTCATCGGCAAAGTACACCCAATTGTGGAGACCAATAATGGTGCCGTTCTTAACCTCATTGACAAAGACATGTTCAAAACCAGAGCTGCCAATGCGACCACTGCCACGGGAATATTGGGTAAACCATAGCTCCTTGACCAAATCACGATGGGTTTTGGGATCCGGTCCCACAATACCTTTAAAGAGCCAAAATGAGAATTCTCTGCGAATCTAGGAAAATGTATGCCCCTTACCTTTGTTCTGCAAAAACAACATGGCTTGACGCATAACACTGGTGGCCATAACTGCATCAACAAAATCGTTTTCCTCCTTGCGCTCATTGGGTGTGACATGCTCATTGGTCAGGGTGTCCTGTTCATAGTTGTTGAAGAGCAAACGCATTTTGGCCACAATGGGATTTTCATAGACCTTGGGATTAACATCCAGTAGCCTAAAGGAAAACATAATCTTGAAAATTTCAATTCTCAGAAAAATTCCCCCTTTCACACTTACGGTTGTGGTGCCTCATCGGTGCTATCAATGGACCTGGTCTTACCCTGCGGATTGACGGTAAGCAAACTTAGCTGGCTGTTGGTCTCCTTGGTGTAGAGGGTTTCGGTGAGGGTTTGAATTTCAGCATCACTGGCTGTGGGATTATTGTCGGTACTGGATTGGAAACCAGGACGCACTGTGGTCGTACGTCCACCCGAGTGGGGTACAAAAGAAACCCCATTACCACCAGGGCTACCAGGAGCAGCTGGCAATTTGGGTGTGGGAGTTTTAGACGTTGTTGTTGAAGTTGCGGCGGCTACTGGTGTGGGCAAGGGTTTATTCCAGGCCGATGGCGAGGAGGGACTATGCGGTGAGCTGGGAGTTGGTGTGGGTGACTTGGGTACTGGCAAGGCAGGGAAGTCCTCCTTTACACCGCCACCAATTGAAGGCCTTCTGGGACCCGGTAGAGCTGGGAAATCTTCTTTGGTCGGAGATGAAGGTTTCTTGGGATCGGCCATGCCACCACCACGCATATCGAAACCCATTTGATTGGGTTTGGCTGTGGTAGTTGTTGTTGTTGAGGTCGACGTAGTTGTACTTGTTGTTGTGCCAGTGGCAAATCCACTTGTATTGGGCACTCCAGGCGCTGGACCAAAACCAGGTCTGGCACTGGGTTGCACAGGTCTTACCCCACCACCACCACCACCATAGCTCAAATCAAATCCAGATGGCTGAGATTTCCTTGGTGGTTGATAGGGTCCAAAACCGGGCATGACATTAGGTTGTCCACCCACATTGGGTCTGGGTAAATTGTTTTGGGAAGTTGTCGACTGGGAGGTGGGCAAGTTTGGAGATTGTCCAGGGGTGGGCAAATTATTTTGATTGCTCTGCGCTGTGGGGGCTGCGGGGAAATTAAAGGCACCACCACTACCACTCTGTGTGGGACCACTGGGCTTGGGTACATTATTTACCACATTATAGGGACTCTGGGGCTGGGTGGGTTTAACGGTGGTCGTAGAGGTTGCCGCTGGTAAAATTGGGCTTCCCGGCATATGGGCTCCACCGGGCACATAGGTTCCACCGCCACTGGCACTATTCGCTGATCCAGGGAACTCGGGTTTATCCTGGACGTTTTGAGGATTAGACTGAGGCCATTGTGGTGGTTGTTTTGGATTTCCACCCCATGGAGATGTGGAGGGGGTATCTGGTCGTGGACCCAATGGCACCAGGGGAGCAGGGTTTATTGTCAATGGTGGTGGCCGATTGGCAGCAGCTGCTCCACCTGATGTTTGACCGGGGAGAGCGGCATTATTGGGACCGGGTAATGTTTGTGGGGTTTTGGCTGTGGTGGCCTCTAGCACAGGGAGAGGTGTTGTGGTGGTGGTGGTTTTGTCACGGCGGAACCAACCGAAAAATCCACCACTTTTTGCTGTAGTCTCCTCCTCGGGAGGGGCTGGGGTTATGGCCACTTCAGTTTTGTAGGAGGCTGGAAAATGGGAGAAAATCAAGAAATTAAGAATAAAATGGCTTCAGGAAGGAATGCATTGGAAATCATGCCTAACTCCTTATTCAATATTGGGTGAGGGGCAAGGGGGATTAAGGTATGGAATTTTCTGTCGTATTTTGCTCTCATAACCTGATAAATAATATCCCTAGCCAAAATTGAGGGTATTACAGTAAATACTCTGGGAGGTCTAAGTGATAAAAAAAAGATCCTGAGAAGTCCACACATCTGAAGGACTGTAAAAATAAATCAGAGATATGGGTCGAAATCTGTAGTGTCATTTTCTGAAAAGTATTGGAGTTGATTAGTCCTCGCCGAGCTTTAGACCAGTCATCGACATGCTATCGCTGTGCTATTGACGAGCTATCGACAGACTATCGAAGAACTATTAAGGATTTATCGAAGAAATTATAACCAACTATCGATGAGATATCAACGAGCTATCGATGAACAAACGACGTACTATTATAGAGCAGTCGATGAACTATAGATCAGTGGTGGATGGGTTATCGATGTGCTATCGATAAACTATGAATAATTCAAAGACAGGCTTTTGATGAGTCGATTGCCCGTTAACGAGCTATTAACGAGCCATCTTGGAGGGAAGTATTGATGAGCTATCGGCGAACTAACGGAGAAGCTATCGCAGAGCTTACGACAAGCTATCGATATCCTATCGACGGGCTATTTCTGAGATATCGTAGAGCTGTACTATCGAAAAACTGTGCTGTCGAAGTGCTTTCAGCGATCTATGGAAGAGTTGTCGTTAAACTTCTGACAAGCTAACGATGGAATCGAAGAATTAAAGGAATCTTCTCGGATTGTTTTCAAAAAATTTTGTGTTCTAGGCTTAAAATCAAATCGATCTCAATAAAAATTCTTCTCCCATCACATATGTAGGTCGGCTTTCCCCAACGAAGCAAAATATGTTTTTTTATTCTATAAATTTCGTGTTAATACATTTTTTTTTTCAAATTCAATAGAACTTGTCTACCGATAAGAATGACTTGCAGGTCATTTGCCATCCTCTTGAAAAGTGTGATAACAGTGGGTTCTGGTTAAATGAAATTTGCATTGTATTCCACGAAATTAATGCCTGGAAGGAATTAAGATGAGTTTTGAAAGAAATTTCTTACTATCAATAATTGGAAAACCCAATGACCTGACTTGCAATTCTTCTTCTCTAAAAATTTGAAATGAATTTTTTTTCTAAAAAAAAAAAAAATGTCAAATGAACATTTTATGAAAAAAATATTTTTAATTTATTTTTTTGTCAAGGAACTTGAATCCAGTCCCTGTTATCGACTCTGAAGCAAATTGAGGTAATGGCGCCCAAATAAATACATTAGCCATAAGACCATCTCTTAGAATAAGAGTTAAAGATAATGAAAATAAGCTTCACAATATTTTGAAACAGGTCAAAAAAAAATATATATATATATAAAATATTGAAAAAATAGAATTATATTTCGGGATGAGCCTTATTCATCCCTTGTCAAAATCATGTGCTAGCACATCAGTCCGCAAAAAAGAGATAATTCAAAATACATCAAAAATTGTTTGTAATTTATATTTTATTTCAAATGTTTTTAAATATAATTGTTGCCCATATAAATAATGTTTTAGCATTCATTTGTTGGCGTTTTAAAAAAATCTTAAAGAAAATGGACGGGTGTGGGTGCTCGTGTTCTTGAGCAGCCTTGTCCTTATTACATCGGTAATTAGAATATATAAAAATGCAATCCCCTCTCGAGTAGATACGATATGGGGATAATAAACTCTCAGCTGGGGTTAATGAACTCTTGGCCAACTATTCTATAGCAGATGGCCTTAAATCCCGTCTTCATTTTAGAACAGGGTGTCAGATAGCATTCACTCCACCTGGCATGGAGTTTTGTCGCTTCTACTCGACAGTAGATGGCGTCAGGTCTAACCCTAAAACACATTTACTTTACAGTCATATGGGATGAGATGGGATCCTACTTATGGACTCCGATTCCGTCTAAAATGGAATGGCCTCTCTAGAACTCACCAGGACGTGGACGAGGAAGCTATCAGAGCCCAACTACTTCGCAAAGATCGAAATATATAAGCAACAGATGTCCCTATAGGGTCTCAAATCCCTACGGGTGTGGAGGAAATGACCTCTATTTTACATTTTCTACTGTATATGACACCATTATAGCTAACATTGTGATGTTCTACATTAATGTAAACTATGCAACAGTAGATGACGTCAGGTTGCATTAAATTTCCATTAGCTAACCTGAAAACCAATTTACTTTTCTGTGAATGGATCCAGAGAACATCTATTGACTGCTAGATTTCCTTAGAGCATTTCCTCTCATATCAGATCATGTTTAAGGTCTCCGAGTCCGTCAAAAATGGATTGGATCCCTCTAAAGATCACCACCTATGCCGTGGAAGGTGTCAGAGCCCAACTACTTGGCAAAGATCCCATAAAATAACCACCGGATGACATAAGAGAGTCTCAGAGACCAGCGGGTCTGGAGGACATGACCTTTACTTTATATTATCTTCCGTAGGTGGCTCTATTATAGCTGACATTGGAGCTCATCTACTTTATTGTAAATTAACTGTGAGTCCATCGTTTCTATATCGACCATTGAGACCTTCGGGTTTGAGGGTATTGGAACTCTAAATATTTTTTCCCTGGAGTAAATGACTTTAAATAGGTGGCACAATTAACCTTTAAGAGATCCAATTCTTAAGAGATCCATTCCTTCTGGTATCTCCCCCCCCCCCCATCAAAGGTTTAAATTTTCAAAACAAATATATTGCTACACAGAAAGAAAAAAGGATAATCCGATTTTGCTCCAACTTTGCAAATCCTAATATTTGCATCAGTTCTAAGTCAAGTGCGAAAATGGACAATATCGGGACGAAAATGGACAAAGGGTCAATATTTTAAATATCCATGAAGGTCATAAACACTAAAATAACATCCGATTCCATTCAGACATCGTACATCTAAATATTTCCATGAACACAAGAACTCTTATAAAAATGTTGGATATCAGACCATTTATTCCGGTACCTCCAGCACAAAGGGTCAAAGTTTTGAATAACCAAAACGATCATAAAAACCGAAATAAGCATCCGCTTCGCTTTATATTTCACAAATCCCATTATTTCTGCCAATGCGAGATTTGTTGTCAAGATGGGATATATCGGTCCACTCCTTCTGGTACCTCCCGCATGAAGGGTAAACATTTTCAATATCCATGAAGCTCATAAAACGCGAAATTAACATCCGACGCCATTCAGACTTGGTACATCTCAATATTTCTATCAACACAAGATCTGTTATGAAGATGATAGAGATCGGACCATTTCTTCTGATACCTCCCCCACAAAGGCTCAAAGTATTGAATAACCAAAACGATCATAAAAACCGAAATAAGCATCTGGTTCGCTTTATATTTCACATTTCAGATGGGATATATCTGTCCACTCCTTCTGGTACCTCCAGCACAAAGGGTAAACATTTTTAATATCCATGAAGCTCATAAAACGCGAAATTAACATCCGATTCCATTGAAACTTGGTACATCTCAATATTTCGATTAACATAAGAACTGTTATAAAAATGGTAGAGATCGGATCATTCCTTCTGGTACCTTCCCCACAAAAGGTCAAAGTTTTAAATAACCAGAACGATCATAACATTCGAAATAAGCACCCTTTTCTCTTCAAACTTCGTACATCCCATTATTTCAAGATCTGCTGTGAAGATAAAGTATTTTGGCGCACTCTTTCTGGTACCTCCCCCGCATGGGGTTCAAGATTTTCAAACACAAAACGCTCAAAGAAGCCGAAATAAGCTTCCAACTCTCTTCAAATTTCAAACATACAAACATTTTTGCTAACACAAGATCTGCTGTAAAGATGATATATATAACAAGGAAACCCTTCTGGTACCTCACCCACAAAGGGTCACAATTTTCAATACTTTTATCTGTCATAACAAGCCGGCGATTCTTCACAACTTCCAATATCTAAATATTTCTCGCAACTAAAAAACCTAAGACGAATATGGAATTGATCGGAGTTTATAATTTCGCATAAAATTGGATATCAATCTTCGATTTTCTTGTCCTTACCTTGCCCATACCAATATTTTTATCTGCAGTGGATGAAGTATGAAAATGGTATACTTTGGCCGATTTATCCGGTGCCTTTAATTTTTTCTAAAAATTATCACATATCTCATATAAAGTCAAGGATATAATCAATATATTCCAAACCAATCCAATATTTTTATCATATTTACTTAGGTCCGATGCGAAATCGGCAATATTGACATAACATTCTTACAGTTCTGGAACAGACAGACCATAATTGTTTATTCAACCAAGCAATTTCTGTCCTAATCTAAAGTGGCAACTCGGTTTGTAATTCTGTGATTTATTGGCAAAGTTCTCTGTTTTGAAATTTCGCATTTAAGGAGAGCTGATCGTAAAAAAATTTCCTAAATTTTAAATTTTTTTAATAAATCTATTTCGAAGCCACTTCTTTGCCAGCTACCTGCGCTAATTGGCAAAATTGCCTTTTCACCTAAATCCCCACCCAAGAAAGAAACCTTCAAAATTTCTCAACAGCAAAATTTAAACAAAAAACCCCGAAATTGTTATTACCTGCAGTATTGAACTGAATCACACAGCAAATAACCAAAAAAATGGTTGTTGTTATTTTCAGACGTTTCAATAACATCGTTTGTTGTTGTTGTTTTTTTGTTTGTCTGGACGTGTGTTTTGAAGTTGTTTCAAGACACAAGAGAAATAATAAAAACAATAACAAAATAAATCACGGTTCGAGCCAACTATTGGCTGTCGGAGCACAGACACACACGCTTAGATTAGAATTCCCGAAATCCACGATGTCAATGCGGCAAATGTTGAAGATAGACTGAAGAGCAGCAGCTTGGAGGCTTCCACTTGAACACATCTTATCTCTCGCCGTGAAATACGTTTTGTGAGATGTGACTTTGTTTTAACAAGGCAAGATCCCACACACAAAGGGAACACAGAGGCACACACCCACACACACATACATGCCTACACACAAGGCAGAGAGAAATTATGGCCTAGGGTCTGGTTGGCATAAAATTAAAACATTTCATTGTTAGTTTTTTTTGCATAATGACGTTTTTGGCAAACAAGACCTTCTTTCAAAAACTGGTTTAGTTTGAAAAAAGAGAGGCTTTATTTTCAATCATGAAAAGCAGAGAGGTAAAGAGAGAGAGAGAGAGCATCAATGTTTTGATTTTACCTGTCAAGGTGCCAACAACATAAACAAACACCAAAGAACAGCTGATGTACATAACCGTTATTTGTTTTTATCGAATATTCCACAAGACAATCATCGGCATTCACTTATGGCCTACAGAGTTGGCAACACTACCCTAATCTCAATTGTTTTATTTTTTTTTGGTTTTGAAATCTACATTTTTCATTTGAATCTTATCTCTGGTTTGGGAAACGAAAGCAAACCCCTAGGTCAAGATGTGACTCAATTTTAATTGATTTCAATTGAGATTTTCTGTTGGTGTGTCGGTGTGTGTGTTGGCCTTTTTTTGTTTGAAAATGAAAACAAACAACGGAATTAAACAATGAATGGAATGGCGGGTAGTGGGATATTTGAAGGTAAACAAAGAGTAATTAAAAAAAATGACAGCACTGAGAGAATGGAATTAGAATTAGATTTTGTTGCACAATCGTTGGGAGCTCAAGGGGATGGGTAGGCATTGGCAAAATAGAAGAGAGAGAGAGAGAGAGAGGGGGAAAATGGATGCTGATCTCACATTGTACACAGTGGAAGGCTGCTTTAGTCAAAGGAGAAAGTGTTTGAGCTCAGCTATTTCGCAACAGAGGGACCCTAAGCCCGTTTAGTCTATATAGATGGGTTCCGAGCCCATCAAAATGTACAGTAGATGACCCGTGAACCCATTTGTAGAACAGTAGGTGGCCTCAAGGAGGAGTCGGCATTTATTCTGATGCCACGGTCGATTAATACGAGCGGAGAGCGACCATCGGCTGTTATGGCGGCCCACACCATCACCAGAGCCGGTGCTTGAGTTCTGGTGGCCAGCCGAAGGTGCACATTTGCAGCTGACCTCTTTGGCAAGTAAACACGATCATTTTGTTTGTTTACAAACTGCGGGACAACGAATGCTTTCTTTTGTGTGGCCATAGGAGACCTCAGATCTTCTTTAGGGCCATAGTAGACCTCAGCATTTCTATAGGGTCATAGAAGACCACAAGTCGGATATTTAGCCATAAGGGATCTCAGGTATTCATTAGGACCATAGAGGACCACAGACGTTCTACTCGACCATAGGATACCTGAGGTGGATGGCCTTCCAGTCCATCTTCGCTATAGTAGATAGCCTTTGAGTCTATCTACAATACAGTAGATGACCTTCCAGGCCATAGGCTCATAGTTACCATAGGGTACCTGAGGTGGATGGCCTTCCAGTCCATCTACACTATAGTAGATGGCCTTCCAGCCCATCTACATCAGTAAATGGTCTTCGAGCCTATTTACACTACAGCAGATCGCCGTGAAGTCCATCCACACTACCGTAGATGTCCTTTCAGCCCATCTACACTATAGTAGATGACCTTCCAGCTTATCTACACTATAGCAGAAGGCCTTCGAGTCCGTCTACACTACAGTAGATGGCCTTCGAGCCCATTTACACTACAGTAGATGGCCTATCAGCCCATCTACACTACAGTAGATGGCCATTTAGCCCATCTACACTACAGTAGATGTCCTTTCAGTCTATCTACACTATAGTAGATGGTCTTCGAACCCATATAGAGTACAGTAAATGGCCTTCGAGCCCATCTACACTACAGTAAATGACCTTGAAATCCATCTTCACCAAAGTAGATGGCCTTCGAGTCCATCTACACCACAGTAGATGCCTTCGAGTCCATCTACAACACAGTAGATGGTCTTCGAGCCCATCTAGACTACAGTAGATGGTCCTCCAGTCCATCAAAACTATCGTAGATGGCCTTCGAACCCATCTACACTACAGTAAATGTCCTTTGAACCCATCTACACTACAGTAGATGGCCTTCGAGCCCATCTACACTATAGTCGATGACCTTTCAGCCCATCTACACTATAGTAGATGACCTTCCGGCTTATCTACACTATAGTAGATGGCCTTCGAGCTCATCTACATTTCAGTAGATGGCCTTCGAACCCATCTACACTACAGTAGATGTCCTTTAAGTACATCTACACTATAGTAGATGGTTTTCGAACCCATCTACAGGGCTGTGCATGGCCTCGGAGCCCGTAATCACTACAGTAGATGGCCTTTGAGCCCATCTACTCAGCAGTAGATGCCTTTTAAAGCCATCTACACCATAGTATATGGCCTCTATCTAACTTCTCTGCAGTAGAGGTACTTTGAGCTCCTCTAGCCTCCGGTAGATATCATTTGAGCCCATCTACTCCTCAGTTTTTACTCCATGGCTTTCTAGTCTATTTACTCTGTAAGAGATAATCTCCGATTCCATCTTCAGCTCCACATTTCTGAAAATTTTACTCTCATCATTTGAACATTTTTCATTTTCATCTCTCCCTCTCTTTTTTTGAGGGTTACCAACTTACCATAAATTTCAAATATTTTTAAAAATTTTACTCTAATCATTTCAACATTTTTGATTTTCACCTCTCCCTCTCTTTTGAGGGTTACCAACTTACCATAAATATCTAATATTTTTAAAAATGTTTTAATTTTTTTTAAAGATTTTTCATAATGAATTTTTATTTAATTGATTGTTCTGCACTTTTTTTCAAGTGTTTCCGTTTTAATACTTATTTATTTTCTCATGTTTAAATATTTTTCTCAATTTTTTTTTTCCGTTTTATAAGTAGAGAGTTACATATTTAGTATATATATATGTATGTAATGAATATATGTGGGTAATTTAATTTACGCGACATCTGATGTCTTTTTTTTGAAGAGAGTTTTTTTTGTGGTTTTGGTTTGCTTTTTCAAAAAGTTTATGATTTTTTTTTGTAAAATGATTTTTAAATGATGAATGATTGTGTTTTTGTAAATGTCATATTTGTTGGTGGAGAAGGAGGAGGGTGATGAGAAGTTTGGTTGCATTGTGTTGGCCTTATGCCGTTCAACCCCGAGTTTTAAATTGGGGGCTAAATCAATTATTTTTTTTGCAATTGTTCAATTTAATCAATATACGTTTGGTATTCAATTTTTGTTTTCAATTTATTTAGTTTATTGTTGTTATTGTATTACATGCAGTATAGTTCATGGGGTTTTCAATTTATCGTATTGGTTTTTGTTTTTTTTTCTGTTTTTTTTTTTGTTAAATATAGTTGTATACATTAAATTGTTTTTGTTTTTGGTTTTAATTCTTCGCTTCTATATAAGTTTTGGTTTTATTTGACATCGGTCTTATGTTTTGTCCTAAGTGTTGTCAATATGTGAAGAAATTGTTTAAATGCTTGTTTCTGAATTTGTTTCAGTTTATTATTGTTAATTATTATTATTTTTTTTATTTTTAAATATCTTTCCTGTAGTCAAACAATACTCCTTTTACATCCCTTGATGTTGCTCTTAAGTGCTGTGAATTATTGAGCTTCTCTGCCTCTTTCTCTCTTTCGATGACGTTTGCTCTTTGTATTGTTGAGAGAAACTATAGAGAATATCTTGCTAGTTTATGAGAGATTTTTCAGAGTTATTCGAAGAGAGTATATTTACTTGCCCCTTAAGTATGGGAATGGAAAACTTGTGAAATGCTGGAAAATTAGAACAGTCTTCAAAAAAATGATCCGGGTGTTATTTTTTTTTACCCATAACTCACTTATGTGGTAAAAAGTTTTTTAAAGATAATAATATCTACATTTGTAGTATCCTCAAAATCTGCAGTTTTCTTCTTTTTTGGCTACTAAGAAATTTATAAAAATTAAAAAAATTGTAGACTTTTGTAGGGAAATTATTAAATTTAATTAAAAATATTTGTACGGAAATTTATTCTATAGTTATAACCAATTTAAATTATCCATTTAGATAAAGAGAAAGCACGCTCAGCAAGAACCCCAGATTCTCTAAAGTAAAATTTGGATTAAGGCAGATTTGGAACCATTTGCCTCCTCTAGATAAGATGAGCTCGGAAGAGTCCTATTCAAGAGAAAATAGTCATAGAGACATTTAGAACGATTTAATCGAAATTGGAGAGAAGGCAGAAAAATTCATATTTTGCAGGAGTTCTGCTCACGGACCATATTTCATGTAGAATACAGGCTCGTTGCCCCATATATTTTGGGAAGAAGGCGAATTTAATGCCCTTTAACTTTGCAGTGGTTGAACTCGGAGGTAATTTACTGTAGTGCAGATATAATTAAAGCCCATGTAGGTGAGATTAGAGTAATTTTTCGGGCAATTTATGAGATAAAATTAAATAGTTATTAAAATTCCTTCCTTCTCTGGGGCGATGTGATCTGAAGTCGCTGAAATAAGAACTGAGGTTAAAAACGAGGTCGAGATATCTACCAGGAATATAATACGTCTTTTAAATCTTCTGAGGTATAGAATATCTGCTGTAGAGGGATAGACGATCTCCTAAAGGAGTTTTTGGAATCGAAGACCTTACAAAAGCATACAAGGATAAGATAGGAACCATTTTTAAAATATAATGCCTTCTGAACGTTTTTTTCGGGAAGATGAGTATTATTATAATTATTACCGATTACTTCCTTCAGGTTACCCTTTAAAGGTCATCTAAAAGGGAGCCCATAAAATCCATCGCCAGGCTGAACCAATTCAGTGGATGGAACCACTTCTTTGAATATAAGACCCCCCCTTGAAGGGTTTCTGAAGTTTTTCAATATATTTAAGGGATTCCGTTTATGAATGACATTTCAAAGGTCTTCTGTGGGCT